AGACGATTCACCGGCATCGTCAGGGAGTCTTGTTAGTCTTAGCACCAAAATACAGCTCGTCAAAGAGAAAAGTGAAGCAGATCATTTGACCAAACGTGTGCTATTCACCTTTCCTATATCCTCGTATCACACCTTCACCATCACATGTTTTTTCTTGCTTATTCAAATGTGGCATGATGTGTCCCTTTGAGCGGCTTTCATGAGAACCCTCCACACACTTCACACTGGCCTTTTCACCCCCCTTCATCTTTGTGCCGGGAATGTTGATCAAAGTCTGCCATATTGTTACACAGTCCCTCTTCCCTAGGTCTCATCACAGTCTCTCTCTTGCCTCGTAAGATCCGTCTGCTTTTTACCTGGTTCAAGTATTTCACTCGACCCCTGCCAGCCCATCTTTGCTACTCGAGGCGTTATTTCCCATACTCTGCGTCTGCAAGACTACCCACAAAAGTTGCGGTACTGCTTGCTTTGATTAGGTTCAATGTTTAATCACAACATTATTGAATTGGCAGATGGTTGGTTCGCAAGATTTATGGTTAATATTTGCCTATCTTAAATCCTGGAAAACAGATCAGAATGAAATTGGCTTGTTATCGAGTAAAATTGTTTGCTCAAAAATGATGAGACAACTAATTAATACTGTTACATCTATAATCTATTCATAATATCAGAAGTGGGCGCATTTTAAGATAGCAAAAGTAAGCAACCTTGAAGCAAAGGTGGCTCAAGGTTTTATCTCATTACCTAAATCCCAAGGACTTAAGCCAACTCGTCACTTGAATGGAAACTTCTTTTGCCCTATATATTTATGAATATATTATTTTAATGAAAGTATTACGAATTTAGAGACAGCGTTAAAAGCAGAGAATCTTAATTTGCAGAGTAAACCGAGTTACTTTGTATTATTTCTACCAACTATTCGTTTCTGTGGGAAATCCAAGCCAAATTGTCCAATTCTTATTCTCAGAATTCCACATCCTTTAGTTGTAGACTTCTGATAAGTATACTCCTTATTATTCCAGTCTTCCATCTGTAGTTGTGATGAGATTGGAAATTTAGTATTATTCCGGATTCCGTGACTTTAAGTGAAACCACCATTCGAATAAAGCTAATAAGATACTTTATTAGGCCTTTATTTGGAAGATAAGAGAAACTTATGCTGTGTGGATAAACTGGCTAAGTTTGTAGATAATAAGTCAAAGCTCCGGAGTGATCTGGCCAAGATTCTGAATCTGGTAGCTTTTAAAAACCTCCAGATTATGGCTGAGGCGAAATCACGTAACCTGATTTAATAACAAAATTACATGACAAAAGCTTGCTTAGATATGTAATTATAAGACAACGTAAGTTAAAGCCACCGCGCCCAGTTGATGTGGTTTCCGAGGTGACAACACATACCGATCGGTACTTCAATCTGGTTAAAGTGGTGAATTTATCCACAAGTTCTCAGTCCCGAAACCGCCATGATCATTAATAAAGGACTTAACTTATGTCTGCCAAATGACAGAAAACTTCTAGAAGCCATTTTTGTGGGTGTCATCAATATCTTCGACAAATTTTCTGAGGGGACAAAATGGCAAATTGAGTTGGAAATGGATACACAGGACTCTACAAAGGAGTGGATAATCAGTCCTTCAGGTGGATAAAGGAGGAGTGACAGAGATAATAGACAGGAAGCAACACACCGAGAAGATGGAAACTATACTAGGAGATAGGACCGCATATCGTTTACTAAATGAGAACCCAACTATGAAGATCAACGGAACCCTACTTCACATACCAAAAGATAGGCATAGGAACTGCGAAATCAACAGATTCACACTAAATTATTGAGTAGAAAAGATTCAAAAATACCAACAGCTTACGGATTACCAAGGCTACGCAATGCAGCAAAACCGCTAGGATTGGTAGTCAAAACGTATGAGGCAACACACAAATTAGTGAAGTCTATAGGGTGGAAAATCAAGAAGTTAAACGACAGGCTATCAAATACAGTCTAAATTTAATGTGAATTTTGTCAAAAAAGTATAAAAAACATGGCACTGGAAGTAATATAATTAATGGTAAATTTTTATCTACAATTTATGCCTACAAACATCTCATGATAAAAGGTGCTAACGGCCCTGCTAGAGATTTTGGACCGAGAAAAGGATATCCTGGAAGCAGAGAGGATCAAGAGGGAGTTGTTAACTTGACCAATCAACTTGAAAAAAAGGAATAATCTATTGCAAATTGAACTGCAGCATCAACGAACAAATAGTTGGACTTCCTATGGGATCGCCGATCTCACCTCTTTTCGAAAAAGTATAAGTGAACAAATTAAAAGAGAATTTTAAGGCATCACCGTTGCAACCAAGAATGATCATTCGGTAGCTGGAAGGCTACTTCGCACTTTGGTCGGATGGAAGGGAAAAATTGGACGATTTCCTGAAGCATACAGGCCAGAATGATTAAAGAATCAATTACATAATGGAAGTAGAGGACGAGAAGTAGTCACTTCTGAAATTTAAAGTGATTCACTCGAATTTGACACTCAAATAAAGATTGTTGAGAAAAAAGTAATATGCCGGATAAATATTCATTTTTAAGTTTTATCAAAACTATAGACTAAAAATGGGAATATTGACGAGCGTGCTCATCAGAAGTCTACGATTAAGGCACGTGGAATTCTTAGATTTTTATTTGGACAAATTGACACGGATGCTCCTAGGAAACGGATACCCGAAAGAAGTAATTCAGTTAAACATAGTGGCCTTGAAAATCTGATGCCAGGGTGGGGATTAGCAAAGAAAAATGAGGATGGAGAAAGAGTCACAATGTGGATGTGACTGTAATTTAGGGAACTATTTAAAAAACTTCTGAGAATATTAAGAAAATGGATTATTTATTTCACCACTGGGGAGAAAAAAAACTATAGACAAATGTACCAATACAACATGAGAGGCTGAACAAGTGGGCTTAGCCTGGAGGCTTG